TGTTCCGCTCCCACGGCTTCGAGCTCTTCTCTCTCCTTGCGTTCTCTCTCTTCCTTCTCTTGCTGCTTCCTCCGCTGGTATTCCGCCTCAGCGGCCGCTTCTCTTGCCTCGATCTCAGCCAATTCACGTTCAATGGCTTCGTAGTCAATCTCATCTTCGGCGGGCTGCTCAGACTTCTCCTCAGTCTTCTTCTCAGCGGCGTCAGTAGCGTCAGCAGCATCAGCAGGCTTCTCCTCGGCGGGCTCTCCAGTAGCCTGTTCAGTTTCCTTGGTAGGCTCCTCCTCCTTAGCCTCGTCCTCCGCCTTGGCGGGTTCCGCAGGCTCCTTCGACTCCGCCGGGGCAGCTTCATCCTTGTCTTGCAGCGACAGTTCTTCGACCGCCTTGCGCGCCTCTTCTTCCTTCAGAGCCTCCTCCTCTTTGCGGGCCTCTTCCTCCTTGCGCGCTTCTTCCTCCTTGCGCGCTTCTTCCTCCTTGCGCGCTTCTTCCTCCTTGCGCGCTTCTTCCTCTTTGCGCGCCTCTTCTTCCTTGCGAGCCTCTTCTCCTTGCGCGCCTCTTCCGCCTTCCGAGCCTCTTCCTCCTTGCGCGCCTCTTCGGCCTTGCGTGCCTCTTCTTCCTTCCGACGCTGCTCTGCCTCGTCCTGCTCAATCTTCATGCGAACCGCATCCTTAAGCTCCTTCTTCTTCTCCTCGTCCGTCTTAGTGGGCTTGCCATTGTCCGCGCCATTGCGAGGCGGCGGGGTCGCGGCCGAGCCCTTGACGGGGGAGGGAGTTCCGCGCGCTGGCGAGGCGGGCTGCTTCTCGAAGGTCTTCACAACACCACTGCCAGGGTCTTTAATCACGAGAGGGCTCTTCTTGTTAGGAGGGATGACGAAGTGGTTCTTCTGTGGGGCCGGGCTACCCGAAGACATGCTGGCACTGTGAGCATGTCCAGGGGCCGGAGCGCTCGTCGGAGCAGGTCCTTGACCAAGGCTCGAGCCGGGACGGTCGTTGGAGACTTGGGATGGAGTTCTCGACAAGGGAGTCGCCTGAGCAGGGGGTTGGACGCCGGCTGGGTACTGGTGTTGCATGTACGGAGCCTGTGGGTTATACGGCATGCCAGGACGGGGTTGCGGCGAAGGAGGGGTCATGTACATATTCTGCTGCATGCCATAGGCCGGGTTGTAGTAACCGTAGTTGGGGTCATAGGCGGCATGAGGGTAGTTCTGATTTTTCATCAGCATTAGATACTGCTCAAACTGACCACTTTCGGGTGAGAGGTTGGGGGGTGGAAGGTTGACAGCAGAATAGGGGTAATGGGGGTTTGTCGAAGAGCTGGAACGGGTGCCTCGCAGTCTCTTCGGCGCAGGGTTCCGACGGGGTTTAACAGAAGGAGGGGGGTGCCTCACTGTTTGAGGTCCCATGTGCTGGTTGTAAGCACCGTAATGCTGGGCGGGCATCTGGGGATGCGCCGCCATGGGGACCTGGTTCATCTGGGGAGTCGCTGGATGAGCGTTCGCCATCGCCGGGCTGCGGGTAGCCTGGTGCGGGGAGTTGGGGAACGGGGGGCCCAGAGGTCGTCCTTGGTTGTGGCCGTGGAATTGGGGTCCCATATTCGGTCCTCCGCGGGGTTGATTCGGGGTCCGGAAGTTGGGCCCTGGGGAGTAGGGCATTTGTCCTTGGTATCCTGACTGATTGTATCCACGACCTCGTCCACCCTGATGAGGGTAACCGCCGCGACCAGGGCCGCTTGGTCCACCGGGCATATGGCCGCTCATATCACTGTGTGTCGACTGGGAGGATTCGCGTCGCAGGTGGTTGGGTTGCGGTCCGGGGCCGAGAGGCGCCTGATTCTGTCGCATCTGTCTCTGGAAAGAAAATTTGGTAAACAATTAGTTATCAAGACGCCCACGCTACCGGAGAAATCCTCTCAAAGGGGGAAATACTGTGGAAGGAGGAAGGGGAAAAGGCAGAAAAAGCGATGTGCAACGCCACAACTTACCTCTCCAGCTTCTCCAAAGCTTCCAAAGTTAGGAGCATTCCCTTGCGACTGATACGTCGACGGCGGCCGGCCGCCACTAGACGAAGGCTGCGGAATCGGGGATGGGGAGGTCTGGGGAGAGGTGATGCGAGGGTTGACGGGCTGCGAGACACCGAGACCGGACTGAGGCTGGCTGGCCAGCGTGGCGGGCGAACCCATGGCCGGAGAACCTTGCTGGTTCATCGAGCCAAACTGGATGCTGTTGGTGCGACTGGAAGCACCGCCCGCAGGACCGCCATTGGGCATGTAGCCGGAGGTGCCTGCAGAGCTGATGGTGACGGAGGGTTTTCGGTTGTGATCGCCCTGGGGGGCACCAGGAGCGCCATTGACAATGGTCACTCCGGAAGACTGGTTATGCTGCATGGGAGGCCGGCCGTTCACAGGAGAGATCGAGGGCGACTTTCCATGGTGAGCACCAGCTCCAGCACCTTGCGCAGAACCAGAGTCGGACTCGGTGGACTTCTTGGTGGCGTTGGCGTACGACCGGGCGGCGGTGTTGGAGCCGCTGATCGACGGGGATGAAGAGTGGGAGGTGGAAGCGGCCGGAGTGCTGTTGCTCTGTCCCTGAGGCTGAAGACCCGGCTGCTTGTGAGAGATCGAGGTCATTAGACAGGATTGTGCTGTGCTGAACCGCGTAGAGATAGATTGAGGATGGGTGGTGATGTCAGGTCGCGAAACACAAGCGGATCCAGCTTTAAGACAAGGTCGCACCGGCCGGACAGTCAGCGAAAAAAAGACGTCTCACGCCAACGGAGCCGTCTCTCTTTTTCCTATGGACGCGAGTCGGATCTAAACGAAGGCCGGGAACGCGAGAAAGGACGACGAGGTGCCGCGAGGACGTCGTTTCCCGGAGGAGAGGGAGAAAGGGACGGGGGGAAAAAAGTGGAAAGTCGACAGACGCTCAGCAAAGGAGTGGCTGAGAGATCCTCACCCACACAAAAGCGGCAGGTGACGGAGAGATCACTCGCGCAGGGATAACGAGGACACAGGCAGTCTCCGCGATCGTCCTCTTCTGGGCCAGAAGAGGATCCGCTGGGAAAGGGATGAGTGTGCGGGAGGGGAGACAAAAGTGGTGGATGTGGTGGTGAAGAGGAGAGCGAGAGAAATTTTGGGGGTGCGGCCCAGCTGTTAGTTAGTCCGGGTTGAGGCGGCGACACAGCCGACCGTCCCTCCACCGAGACAGCGCAAGCAGTGCTCCCCCCGAGTTGGGCAGGCAGTCCGGCGTGTCTCTTCGGTTTGATTCGATCGGCCAGCAATTCACCGTCTTTTTGCTTCTTACGCGACATGTCTCGTTCTACAATGCCCGCGGGCAGGACTGTTACGACGGTGATCGCGCTGCGGGCCATTGGCCGCTGCTTACAAAGAGATGCCTCCAGAGGCAACCCGTCTCGCATGCCCTCGCCACCGGCCGCGTCGAGTGACGCAAAATTCGAATCACAGCGCTGGTCGAGCTGGAGAAACACAGAGAGGCCGGTATAACATCAGCGATGGCGGTAGTAGTCGACAGGGCAAGCCGCCGTGTTTTTGGTGGAAGTTTCCACTCCATTCCTCTCTGTGGGCAGTAACAGTCATAGTGGACCTGACAAGAGCCCCGTTCGACACGAATTGCGGACCCTGGTTCAGCAATCGATAAATATGTGGAGTACGAACAGCACAGGCAATGCATGAAATTAGAATACCGCCTACAGAAAAAGAAAACGCACACAAATGAAAATCCAGCTCGCTACAAGGCGAAGAGAGTCGTCCATACACGACGACACAGCCACAGACCGCAATACTTTCGCCTTGGCAGGGCTGCGACTCTTGCTGGATAAAAAAAATAGAGTACGTATTCGGAGAATAATACTGATAATAATAATTAATCTTATGGAGATAATTAGGCTGCACTTCGATACAACATTCCTGATCGGCACCCTTTTCCGTCCCGAACGGCGCCAAGGAATAATAATAGCAATAATTCATGGCATGGATTCTTTTTTAATTTAATGGATTTCCTTGGCGCATGCGGTGGCCACCTAGCCAGAGAGGGTAGCGAGCTTCCCAGCTGCCTCCATGGTACAGCTTCCTGTCCGCCAATCACTGTGGATTGCTGCGCTCCGTCCAGACCAGGTAGAGACGAGGTAAATAAATGATGTGTCCTGGTGCCACAAAGGTTGACTACACCAGTGTAGTGGAAAAGAAGGGTACAGGCGATGGGTCCGCATTCTCAGAACCCAGGCAGCAAGATAAATAAAGAAGGCGGCGGACTTATCTCGGCTGCTTATCGATGCGTATCGTCTCTATCGGTCTTGCTCGGCGAGCTAAGGCATAGCTTGCGATGCAGGAATGCTGGACATGCGAGAACAGTGATTATCCGACGTGTGTCGGTGTCATATTTTGTTCTTTCCTAAGGAATAGTACAACACAACACGACCTCGTCACGAGACTTAACTGAGAAGAAATGTGACGCGAAATTCACCAAAAATATCCATTCTATCGATCGACCCCCGAAGCCCGGGCAATCTCGTCGACCGCCCGCGCTGCAAACTCCGCCCCGGACGAACTACTGGACGTCGTCCGTTTCGCACTCCCACCGCCAAACCAGCCACTCGTCCACCCTTCGCTGGATCGCTTGGGAGGATTCATGGGCAGTGGCCCGCCCACATCCTCATGCTGGATGTGGTCAAAGGAGTTCTCGCTCATATTCTTCCGTAGCCCCTCAAAGGAGCCGTACGCGAGGTCGTCATTCGCGCCCTCATCCGCACGCAGCTTGCCTTCTTCTTTCGCCAGGGCCGAGATGAGCACCTCCAGTCGCTCCCGCTGAGACGAGTAGAACTTGGCCTTCTCGGCTCGGGACAGAGAAGCCACCTTCTCCGGCTGCAGGATGCCGCTGGCAGAGAGCTCCTCGGCCTGTGCATCACGACTCTTTCCCGTAGATGTGACGGAGGTCACCGCAGAGGCGAGGATGGAGTACCAGTCCGATCCCGTGGAAGGAAGATTGCCGCCCGTAGTCGTAGGCAGGTTGAAGCGCGAAAGAAGCGCCTGCGCATAGGTGGCCGGTCCGGTTGCAGGGGGTGGTGCGGCGGTCGCCGGTCGCTGAGGGGGCAGGCCCAAGATCTTCTCTCGGATCCAATCGACCGCCTTGAAGAAGTATTGAAGACCGAGGGCCTTGGCCCGCTCGTGAGTGCGGCCGATCAGCTCTTCGATCTCGCGCTCATGATGCTCAAAGAAGGGTTCCACGTGCTCCTGGTAGATGATCCGTGCCCCTTGGGTCTGCGGAAGGACAAGGTAGGCGAGGAAGAAGAGGCGGATCCAACTGTAGAAAGGAAGCCTGGACAATTGAGGACTGTCAGAACTGTCGAAAAGAAAAAAACCAGAGATGATTCATACCATCCGATGATGAACACCGTCCACGACTCAGCCAGCAGGATGCCCGACAGGACGACCCAATACATCAGCCATGGCTTGAGCTGGGCGGGATCGGCAGAGCGGATGGCTTTGTAGGACGCGAAGGCCGGGAACAGGATGGTGATGACGGAACTGCAGTACGCCCACAGGGTCTGGTCAGCATCGCCTGGCCACGCTCGAGAGAGATCAAAGGAGCTGCTGCTCTGGTTGAATCGGACGACCACATGTGCGGGGTCCATCGCTAAACTCGACCCGGCCTCCCTCCACGGTAGGAAGGGGCACTTACGATAGCAGATCGGCAAAGATACCGAACATGATGTTGATGATTCGGACGAAGAACAGCAAGCTGGACTGCAGGGGTTGAGAACGAAGGCTGCCGCTGATGAAGGCAGCAGGTGTGGATTGATAAGTGCTTATCGCGGACGATATTAATTAAATAGCGGACGGGCAGTGGGGAACGGCCAGCTTCACGCGACCACCGGATAGGCACCAACCTCACTGGGCCAGCTACATCGACGACGACGGCCGTTGAAGTCTCTGGAAAGCTGGCCACGTCAAGACTATGCTATATAGACGGAGGAATCCCTCGTCGATCGATCTGTCGAGGTGTCGTTTTCGCTTTTAGCTTTGCTGCCTCGCGCATGGCCGCGTTCGGCTGCATCGCGGTCCCTGCCATTACGTCACCGACGACAGACCACGAGTCAGCGCTGAGTTGGGCTGCAAGTTACGGAGTATACGGAGAATTACTGCACAAAACGAAGATGTCTCCTGGCTCAAAGAACGATTAAGACTCGACAGCCCATGCTGCTTGATCTATATATAGCTTCCTGCGCTAGCTTACCTCCGCAGGTACCAGGCACCATCCAGCATGTTCTTTTAAGGAAATCAGTTCTATTCTCAACTCAGAAAGAATCTTCCACATCCTAACTGCTCTGGCTGCTAGCTAGGAATAATGGAATAGCATGGTGTGGTTTTTGAAGCTTTCTGAACTGACTCCTGCCTAGAGACGGGGCCTGCTGATATTCCACTTAGTATATCTACAACCAAATCTATTTTCTCGCTCCTCTTCTTAAATACGTACACACATGTACTGCGGCTATTCGACTATTCCCAAGACTATATGAGCATCCATTGAACTAGATAGATCTGTGTCTCCGTACGGCGTTTGTTGGCGAGGGGCAGACGTGTCGGGCGATAAGCTTAGCTTTGGGCTGGCATCCGATGCCAACAAACCACTCCCGCTCTTGCCCGACTGTGCGTCCCCATCTCCCTTCCTGCTGCTGTCACCGTCTGATATGATGCAGAATGTCGGGTGAAGTACCAGCGATCTCAAGACTGCTCTCGATCTTGTAGATTGATTGCACCTGGAAGAAAAGTTCCTACATGGCCTTGCATTTGTCTCCCTGCACTCGTCATCAGTTCCATGCGTCATTCTTGCCACGGTCCCGAGTCAGTACAAATTTCCAGCCACGGACAGCTAGCTGGTCGCTCTTCTCATCGTGAGGGAGATACTAATGAACAACAATTGAGGACGATTCTGCGCCATTACCATCTGCTGGAAACGTTGCGATTGAGTAGTTAGACTCACCAAAACAGACAGCATGTGCATTGCTCTGATCTCCACGGCACATCCCTCTTACCCCTTGATTGTCATTAATAACCGAGATGTAGGTGTTAGCCAGCTCTAATCTGTCGATCACCTTTGCTGAATATCTTCAGGAATATCTCCGCCGCCCGACAGCCCATGTCAACTGGTGGCAAGAGCCCAATTCCCATGTCCTGGGCTCGCGGGATCTTGCCCGCCCCGACCAGGGCACATGGATGGGAGTCACCAAGCAAGGACGCATCGCCGTGCTGACCAACTACCGCGAGAACGCGCCGATAGGGACGTGCAGCCGCGGCGCCATCGTCAACGGGTTTCTGACCATGCCGCCGCAGAGCGAGAAGAGCACGCGGCAATTCGTCGTGGACATGATCGAGAGCAACATGGCCAAGAAGGCGGGCGGATTCAGCCTCGTCTGCGGGAAGATCAACGAGCCCCTGGCCATTGTGTCGAACCGCATGTCGCACGTCGACGGCATCACCTGGATCGCCAAGGAGAAGGGGGAGACGGTTGGGCTGAGCAACACCGTCTTTGGCGATCGGTCGTGGCCCAAGATCACCGAAGGCGAGCGCTTGATGGATGCCGCCATCAAGGCGCACGTCGAGTCGGGCGAAGGCGAGGACGCCCTCATCCGCCGGCTGCTCGACGTCCTCAGCACCGACACCCTCCCGCCCTCGGCCGCCAAGGCACCCAAGGAGGTGTACGAACCTCTGTTGAAAAACTCCATCTTCATCCCCGTCATCGGAGACGGAGAGGAAAACGCGACCGAAATCCCCACCACCACGAATGGAGGACAGCAGTCAGAACTAATGGCGTATATGCACGGCCTGTACGGCACGCAGAAGCAGACCGTCCTGTTGGTCAGCCACGACGGGCGAGTCAAGTACTTTGAGCGCACGCTCTACGATCACAATGCGAAGGCAATCCCTATCGGGAAGGGGGATCGGGTGTTTGAGTTTACGATAGAGCAATAACAATCCGAATGACTCTAGAATAAATCTTGATTAATTCTTAAGTAAACTTGAGTAGACTAACTACGTCTCTGACTCAGAGAGCAGAGAGATATCGTAGTGGGGAGTCCCATATAATTATATAATCATATGACCTGCGATGTCAGCGCATGCCTGTACAGTATATAGGAACCGGCTCATCAATCGTTCTTTTTCTAGGGTATAGATACAGAAAAGACCCATCTCGAAATAGATAAATAAAAAGGGGGTGTTATTACGCCATCACACCTTCCTCCTAACCAACCCCCGAAAAAAATCAAAGCTGTTACTATCGCTCTGCAACTGCCATATTCTACCCGTCGGTCGATCCTCCCACCCCAACTCCTCGGCCAGCAGCAGCCCGTAGTCTCGCGTGATGCCCTTGATGCGCGCCCGCGCGCCGCCTTCTTCCTCTAGCGTGACGACCTGGTGCATGTGCAGCCAGTCCGCGTAGTACATCTCCTCGAAGGCGCGGTCGAAGCCTGTCCGCAGGAACCGGGTGTACAGCTCCTCGAAGACGGTGAGGATGCGCGCAAGGAGCTTCTCTAGCGTGATGGGCTGCTTGGTAGCAGTGCCGGACGGGGCGAAGCGTTGCACGAGGGCGTTCAGCGATGTCGTTGGCGACGCGTTGGTTGCGTTCAGCCCGATGCCGACCACCGAGATGTACTCCCGAGAGGAAAAGTGTGAGTTGACGAGGATGCCGCAGATTTTGGTATATGATTTCTTCTCTGGTTGAGCGGGGTCAATGGCGTCTGGATCAAAAAAAGATCAGTCAGTCTGCTTGTATCGTATGACAGTCATGTACTCACAAACGTCGTTTGGCCACTTCAACTTGACTGGTAGATCTTCATAGCCCTTGTCGTAGCTCTTGATCCCCTTGACCACAGCCATGGCAGCGAGGTACTGAATGAAGACCACGGGCGCCGACTGTATTTTATCAACTGGATGGCGGATCACAGTCGAAAACATAAGAGCCCCCGCGGGCGATACCCACACGTTGGACCCCCGACCCCTGCCGGCCACTTGCACGGTAGCTGTAGCAGTAAACCCGGTGGGAAGACGGCGAAGGAGTTGAGTGTTTCTGGACTCATCCATCAGCGACGAGCTTCGACAGGGGAAAAGAATGGGGATGACATACTTTTCCAGAATGGTATTCGTGCTCGTGACAACCTCGCCATATAGCAGGTGTCTGCCAAAATCTAATATCGCTTCCTTTGACTGAGACTGGTAGGTTCTAAGATGGGTGTAAAAAGCATGGTGATTCCAATACGGCGTGATCTTGGATGAGGGAAGCTCCTTATGGATCAGGAGGCGTTTGACGATGGAATTATAGTCGACAATTCTGTCCTCCGTTGTACTGCTGGATTGATCAGCTTTTGTCTCCTCCGCTGGGTCATTCACAGACGATAGGGCTTCTTCCAGCTCCTCCATCCGGAATGCATCCGGTCTTTCAATCAAGAACGTGTCATTGTCGTCCTTCAGATACTCCTTGTCACCCTCTTTGCTGATGATCTCCTCCAAGGAGGACACCAGGCGACCCGTGTCTTCAGAATCCACCGAGGACAGATGCAAGCAAGAGAGAGACGGTACCGTTGCTGTCTCCTGATTCACCCGAAGGCCCAACTTGGCGAGACATGCTTTCAGGAAGTCAGTGCGCGCCTTGTCATCGGCTTCCAGCTGGTCAACCACTTTTGCGTATTCAGGCCCGCCAGCAGATTTGTCGAGGTTCACCGCCGCGAATCTGGACCGCGTCAGTTTCCAATAGCCAAAAACAAGTTAATCCAGGGAATACAAACTCTGGATGTGGTCCTGTCAAGATGGCTGCTCCGTCACCGACTTTGCAATATACCGCGGCCGCTGTGCCTTCTCCAGGATTCACATTGAGTTCTTCCGTATAGCTCGCCAACACCTCCACGCCCTCATCGGCATACAAAGGGGCATCGACAAAAACGCCTCCTCCATTATAGTAGCTCCGAAAGACGTCCGGGACCACGCCGACGTTCAGAGCCGACTTGGAGACTTTCAATTCCGCCGCCCTCGCGCCGGCTTCGCTGTGGTAGACGAACCCGGGAAAGGCACAGCCGCGACACGTACCGGGGAAGAAAGCCAGCTCTCTGTCCCCGACCACCGCCATCTTCTTGTCACCGACCTCGAATTCGCACCGCTTGCTCCCGTAGTACCCGCCGGCGCAAAAGCCCAGGTAGGCGCCTCCCCGCTGGACGAATTGCGAGATCCGTCGGTTACCCTGGCCATTGAGGGCCTTGCAATATCCCAGATCCGCGCCGCCGGGCATGACGAGCATGGCGCACGTGGCCGTCCATGGCTCCTTGATGATCATGTCCGCGGTCACCGGGATGACCGCATAGTTGGGAGCCAGGAGACGGCGGAGGGTGTAGAGGCAGTGGCGGACGGATTCCACGGTGCTTCCATTGCCTGGCGATGGATCCGTCAGAACATTCTTCCTCCAAGCAGATTGGGTGAGCGCACCGGAATAGACGAGGACGTTGAGCCTTTGGGCGGCCAGGTTGTTGTCTGCGGCCATCGTCGTCGTCTGGGCGGGGATCGCTGCTGCACCGCTTGCTCTGTTGAGAATGACACCCCGCCGCGCTCTTCTTTCCACCCAGACGGGAGACCAGAACCGGTAGCAATGTCGAGGAACGAGAAATCCCTTCAAGGGGCCGTGCAGGACCAGGATGACGAGCCTGATGAGTGGTAAGTTTTATCCCCCGCTCAGAACGTCAGGACGAAGAAGAGCTCCAGCTGAGAGGTTGGCTCTGCAGGGACAAGCGGATCTTCAGCACCGGGTGCGCAGGTACGTCAGCTGAGAAGACAATACAAGGAATATGCCAGCGGAAAACTCACTTGATGCCTCGCAGCGGAGCAGGCGAAAATGAACGACTGCTATTACGAGAAGAAGGACTGGAGGAGCTGCAGGAAAGAGGTGAGTGAGCCGTGGGAGTTTTTGAACCCAACCACATCCGATCCATACAACCGCATCACCGAATGACACGACGACGCATTCATAACACATTCCTACGCTATTATCATGCGTACGATACTCTAATCCGGGTTTACTAACTTGATGCATCTCAGATGGAGGCCTTTCGAGAGTGCTGGAAGCGCCAGGGCAATGACCGGCGGACCGAGACCAAGGACGCCTAGCAGCGCGGTGACGACATCTAACTGTAAAATAATCGACCGTATGCTATATTCTCTGTACTATTAGATCTCTCTCCTCCAAGCCTCAACTCGTATGTCACTTAGCTATCTGTCTTGTGATGGTAAATCTGCATCTGTAGTCACGTGATCATTATATGCCAATCTGGGAAGTGTAACTCGAACGCGTCTCCGAAGCTTCGTCCAGGAAATCAACCACGTTCGACAGTGAGGATGTCTTCTCTTGCCCTCCGCCGGTCCGTCGGGACCGTGGAGTCGCTGAGCTTCTACAGCGGACTATCACTCACGTCTCGATCTTTCAGCCTGCTGCCTACCACCATCGCAGCTCCGAGAACAGCTAGGTCGACCACTCGCCGCAATGGCAGCCATATTCCTGCTCGCGCCGTGAGCCAATCTGCACCCTATCGACAGACACAGCCAGCTCGGCCTGCTCCAGCTGCTAAAACTACTGCGTCTTCGTCAACGCCCTCGTCCCCGTCTACGTCTACGTCTACGGCCACTCCTCCCCCGACCACAGCCCGCACCGCCGCCGCCGCAGCAAACGAGCCGACACCGAACGAGCCCACAACCGACAACCTATACAAGAGCGGACTCGCAGACAAGCCGCTCGAGCTGGAGACCAGCGGCGAAAATGGACTTACAGACAAGGTCGACTGGACGCGGTCCTTCCACGGCATCAGCGCGGAGCCGTTCCCGAAGGAGGTAGCGGACATCTTGCAGGCGCCGACGGACCCGAACGACGTCGAGATCAAGCCGGATGGGATCGTGTACCTGCCGGAGATCAAGTACCGGCGGATCCTGAACCGGGCGTTTGGGCCGGGGGGATGGGGATTGGTTCCGCGCAGCGAGAGCATCGTGACGCCGAAGACGGTGACGAGGGAATACGCTTTGATCTGCAATGGACGGTAGGGCAGCCATTCAAAAAAAAAAGCCTACAGCAGTACTGACGACGCGACAACAGCCTCGTCTCCATCGCCCGCGGCGAACAAGACTATTTCAGCCCCGACGGCATCCCGACAGCGACGGAAGGGTGCAAGTCCAACGCGCTGGTGCGGTGCTGCAAGGACCTGGGCATTGCCAGCGAGCTGTGGGATCCGCGGTGGATCCGCAAGTTCAAGGCCGAGTACACGCGCGAGGTGTTTGTCGAGCATGTTGTCACCAAGAAGAAGTCCAAGATCTGGATCCGGAAGGATGACGAGGTGGTTTACCCGTGGAAGGAGGCGAAATAAATACCAGAAGTTCATGAACATGAGCATATGTTATATTAGATGGGTTTTCTCTCGATTCGACTCGATACGATCGATACGATACCCTTAGTCCTGTACTGATGTACTGATGTACTGTACTATATTGTACATGTGTAAGTAATCTAGACAGTTTTGAAACAGAAGCAGAAACAGAAACAGATCCTTCTCTCCATCCATCTCCACTTCTGATAGATAGATAAACTTGGTGATTTCACTCGATCTATATAGAGCTGCCATCCGCACTTTCTTTAGAATCTACTCCGTACGTATATAATCATAATCATAAGCATAAATCGTAATAAGAATAAGACATTGGATGGATCAAATACATAGATAAAATAGATAGAAGAAGAAGATGATGATGATGGGTGGATTATAACGTTAGATACTTTGGTAGTAGATATCATTCACTCAGTTTCATCCTTCAGCCATCCAACTAGTATCCGTCATACCAGAGAGAGAGAGAGATGTAGATATGTATTTAGATCTTTTATTTATTTTTTTCCCTGTCCCCGTTGTGTGTGTGCCTGTCCTTTTTTTTTGTATGTCTGTTTGTCTGTTCAAAATAATACAGAACCCCAACCTTACCAGGTCTATGTTATTTGTTCTTTTTTTTTCTTCTGCTGCTTTTTTTTCTTGTCTCTTTCTTCCTCCCCCACAAAATAAAGATTCAAGAGCAGGTTACAATCGTCCAACCAATCCCAGAGTATAACACATACATACATACATAATACATACATGTATCAATCACACCAACCAGAGAGAGTTCAGCATATCAATCCAGATAATATCAGATCAGATCAGACAATATCAGAAAATCAGAGGAAAATGGCAAGTGGGAATACATGAAATCATCGTACATAGCCAAAGCATATCGATCGATGATGCTCGGTTATTGTTTCGTTTTGTATCGTTTCTTTTTTGCTGTTTATTTTATCGCACAGCACTTGGCTGGCGACTAATGGGTTGATGGCTGCTGCTGCTGCTGTTGTTGCTCCTGCTGATTCCCTGCTGGAACAGGTCGTCGAGTCGGAGGTTGTTGCTGCTGCTGTTGCTGCTGCTGCTGCTGCTGCTGCTGCTGATAATTCGCTGGCTGATACGATCCCGAACCAGCAGCTTGTTGCGTAGATGTCGCCGTACTCGGCCGCGCATAGGGGTTACCCATCTCGTACTGACTGCCAGCAGCAGCGGCAGTTTCTCCCCCAGGAGAGTAGTAACTAGGAATCTCGTAGCGTTCAAAAGACTGTCGCAGAGAAGACGACCGTTCTACCAAGCTCGGAGACGGCGGAGCGACTGCTCGGCCTTCCTTGCGTCGCCCCGTTGATGGCCCCCGGAGAAGAGACGTTCGGTCGTTGTCGCTGCTCTGGCGAGGCACTCCCAGGACATTCCCGTTCCCTGAAGCGGATGCCGCACTGGGTGCGCGGTACAGCTGCTCCGACTCCTCGGCGCGCGTAGTGTCAAATCCCGCGGGCCGAGTGTGCAAGGCCTCGATGAATCCTGTCTCGGTCATCCTCTTCGTCGAGTTTTCGCGGCGCTGGACCGCTGCCGACGACGACGACGTGGCTCCAGCATCGACGCTGGAAGACTGACCCTCCATGGTGAGCGGTTGCATGGTGGACGTCACCTCCTGCAGCTCGCTCGTCGGCACAAGGCGCTTGGCCTCCGTCTCCTCCGCGGCCTTCTTGCGATACTCCTGCGCCAGCTCATCCGTGATGGTGACCGAGTACGACGGGTTGGACGGCTCGCCCAAGCTAGGCTTGCCGCCACCAGGCCCGTAGATCGGGATCTTGCGCACCGCCAGCACCAGGGCACACATGAACTTGGACCGACGCGTCGCGCGGACTGACTCGTTGGACCAGTTGGACTTGTGGCGGATCTCGATCCGCAGCTCCAGCTTGTCCATGTTGCCCATGCCGATGACCTCGATGTCGACGTCCGGCTGGAAGTCGCGGTAGTTCTCCTTGTCGCGCACGAACTTCTCCATCTCCGCTTTGAGGAGCTGGATGTCGGCGAAGGACGTTCCGAAATCCACCGTCAGGGTGACGCGCTCCCGCATGGCCTTGGACCGGGTCACATTGTCGATCCAGTTGGTGTTGAGGACGACGTTGGGGACCTGCGTGATGCGCTGGTCGGCCACGGTGCGGAAGACCGTGTAGAGAAGAGAGATCTCTTCGACGAAAAGCTCCTTGTCGTTGATCTCCACCCGGTCGCCCACATCAAAGGGGTGTTTCACGAAGAGGAACACACAGGAACCGAGCACCTCCTGTGCCGTCGTGCCGAAGACGAACGACAACGAGAGAAGAGAGGTGGCTCCGGCAGCGATGACCGTCGCAGCGCCCGTCGTCAGAAAAGACACTATTTTCGTTAGACGTAGTCTATAACACCAGAGCAGGGAAACCTACCGAAAATGAGGACCATAATGATAGAGGCGACGGTCAACAACAGACTATCCAAAACATGGATGGCATGGTCGACATCGTGCATGCTCCGGGAGATCGACTTGCGCACGCGCCCAAATTCCGCCACCGTCAGAATCATCTCCTCCATGCTGATATCGCCGTTGCCGTCGCGGTCCAGGATGTGGAAACACTCCTCGGCCTCGGCCTCTCGACCGGCGCCGAGCACCTCCTTGATGTCGTCCTCGTAGAGCGCATCTTTGCCTTCTACGACGAAGGACATCCAGATGCGTCGGGCCAGAGCTTCGGAAGATCGTTTCTTCTCGAGCGCGTGGATGACGACCGAGTGAGCCGACGTGGGGTTGAAGACCTCCTTGCCGGTGATCTCCTGGGCGACATTGCCAAACGCGGCAGTGATCTTGTCACCGAAACGCACGGCGTTCTGGCCGACGTTCTGGATAAGCCGGAGCGGCGCGGCGGACCCGCGTCGACTGTGTTTGGCCTTCTTGGCCGCAACTCCCAGGATGGAGTCCGAGATGATGGTATCCTCTTCGCGGAACTCCTTGCAGTACTCGGGGAACAAGGAGCGCGAGGCCTCGTAGAGCTGGCCGAGCAAGTAGATGTTGTGCTTGGACTCCTTGATCCTGGTCTCGTACTGTTTCCGATGGTAGCTCACCGAGATCAGCTGCACCAGGGTCTTCTCGGCCAGCAGGATCAGACTGCAGATGAACAGAGCAAACAAGATCTGCTTGACGGTCGACTCCCACGGCTTGATGCTGATGTCATGGGCCCGGAGCTGATCCGGGTTCTGGGTCATGATGGGGATAAACGTCGCGAGGGACACCAGCGACCAGCCCGCGAGAGACAGCGGGATTTCGAGCGAACGCAGGATGAGAGCGTATTTGCGCGTTCCTGAGCTGACGATGCCGACGAGGAACTGGAACACGAAGGGCAGGAAATGGGCGGCGATCTTGGACACCCACAGGCTCAGCCAGACGACCTCGATCCAGGTGAAAAACCAGACGATCTTGACGCCGCCAATCTTCGCATCCTGTGCGACGGTGGCGCCGACGATGATGGGGACGGCGATCACCAGGGCCAGCGGAGAGACGTAGATCAAGTAGCGGGTCACGACGGAGAAGTTCAGAATGGCCTCGTAAATGCGACCCATGCGGTTGAGGGTGTCCTCTTCCTCCTCCTGGAGGGAATTGCCCGTGTCGGTCTTGCGACGACGACCGGGACCGGGACGACGACCGAACAGGCCGGCCTTCTCGTCGGCATTGTCATTGTCGGTGGGAGGCTGATAGGTGTTGCTGTTGAACCGGCGAGCGCCGGTCTGGGAGCGACTGGGGACGGTGGACAGAGGGATATCGATGGTGGCGTCGTTGGGGTTGGCCATGTTGTCCTGGGTCATGTCATCGGGGAGCAGATGGAATTTGTTCTGCGAGAAGCGCTTCTGGCCGATGCCAGGCCGGCCAGACATGAAGACAGACAGAAAAGAATGATAAGCAGTTTAGTAGAACGAGCGAAGTGGAAGAGGTGCTTAAATTGGCATCGACATCAATGACAGTGGATGCGGGGCGTGCGTCAAGCACTGAGTAGACAGGAGTGAATGCGAATGACTGTTAATTATAGACCTAGGTGCCAGAAATCAATCTCGTCCAACGAGGACGTGAAAGGCGTAAATTCACAGCAATTGTAGTGGCACTGCCAGCAGGAAAAGAACGAAAAGTAAAAAAAAAAATCCACGATAAACGAGAGGAAGCCTTTCCAAGATAATTAACAGAAAGGAAGGACAACGGTCCTACAGAGAGTGACGAACTGATCAGTGCGCTCGAGTGAACAAAATGCAATTGACCGGACAATAAGATTATTATCTGATTTTTCCTCGGGTTTCATCAGCCCACGGCTTGGGAAGTTGTTTCAGGCCGTCGGGGCCAATCCGGAGGCGAGATGGCAGCTGGTTCGTTCCCGTCGGGTGTCACTTTCATCAAAGGGACTGTTGCATCCGTGGTTGAGCCCGTTTAATCAGTCCTTCGTCCAGGGACATGGTATTATGTACTGTGTCTGTACTCTTCCTTACTTCCTGCGGTCAGCTACAGCTTCATGTACAGTACAGTAACTAATTCTGGCGTTATCTGGTCTGCATTTGAGGTTCTTTTCTTTTGGCCTTCAGCCTGACTGACGCTCCAACAGAGTCCAGACCTGCTGGCTCTTGGCACGTGCAGCCGATCTGTGTGTAGAGAGATCACGACGGCAACTGACAGATGCGCATCGGATCCCGATCGATTCAGCAAGCTCCACTGTAGTACAATAATCTATTAACGAGCACAGAAATCAATAATCGAATTCTGTCCAACATGATACTCTCCTTCAAGCAAGTTCAAGGTCCCTAACCTGTCTGACCATGAACCTTGCTTTTGGAACGGTCGCGACTCCGCTGGGCTGGCCCCTCGTTCCTCACACAACGGACCAATCACAGCTGCCAGGTCACATTCCACCCGATCGCCACCCACAAGCAGTAATTATTGAGATTATCACTGTGGGGGGATTTTATTGACTTGCAGAACACCTCTAGTACTGGTGGAGCAGAGTCGGAGTACAGCATACGCAGTAGTTAGCAATTCTCAGCTAAGCCCACTGTCGCATAATGGATTTTTTTTAAGGAAAAAAAAATCTCCGTAGTCTAAAGCTTAACAATAGTTCAGGCAGTACGGAGTACTACTGCTATTAGGAATACGCAAGCATAACGAAAAATTTCCGACACTTCATCAAAATTAAGCATAAGTTGATGCTGGTGAGATTTAAAAAGAAATTAAAACAAAGCACAACAAAAAAAAAGAAAAGAAAAGAAAAGAAAAAAAGAAAAAAAGAAAAAGAAATTTCAGGTGTTCTGCACCAACCACCAGGCAGAATTCGAAGTTACACCATTGATTGATTGCTAATTTCTCCAACTGACACTGGACAATAATAATAGCATGTGCAGTGATGAATAAACCTAGGTAGGTTAAATGAACCACACTTTATTAAAAAAAAGAGTACTATCACTTACCCCTTCTCTTAACTAGTTAATGTTACTTCAGCTGGAAAATATATACACACTGGAACGCAACCCAAAGATTAAATTTATAAATAAACTGTCACTGCTCTTGCACGATCCTTGGGTAGCACGACAGAAGCTAGCTGTTAATTTAATTCTATTCTCGCTGCTTAATTACCTGCATAGGTAGGTAGTTAAGTTCTGCTGCACTGTCTTATTAACTAAACAGTTATGATAAAGGCTCTTTTTTTATTCCCTTCATTCTTTATTTTTTTTAAAAAAAAAGCTACCAGAACTGTACTAGATAGATAAAATTCAATTAACCAGATTACTATAGGCACTTACAGAAGAACACCTCAACAGACGAAAAAAAAAAGACAGGACGGGGACGGGGACGGTCACAGGGCCTTCCCCCCCCAGTCTTCATTCGATATCTTATTTCCTGCTGAATCAACTCATAATGTAACTAGCCTCCGGATTGGATAGAAGGTATTGGAGGTCAGCTGTTTGATGCTAAAAATAAAAAAAAAATATAATCCAGAGTTCGAAGGTAGGTACAGTAAATATAGTTACTCAGGTACTTGTATCTACTATGTAAGTAAATGATGATACTTGCCTATTAAAGTAAATCCTTGTCTTAGCTGGCGTTCTACTTCTAGATAACATAACTATATGTAAGTATCTCTCGCAATGCTGAGGAGTGAAAGAATATGTGACTTGACTATATACTGTTCAGACGCCAGACAATATATCTGGATCCCTCTATTGTTTACGCACTTGCGTATACGTCTCCTAGACAAACTCCTCCCCCAGCCCAACATCCACCGAATCCAATCTCATCTGCCTCAACTCCTGCACAATCCGCTCGCGAGTCCACCCCTCCCTCAGACCCCGCACCATCAGCTCCTGCTCGCTCTCCGGAGCCATCCCACTAGGCGCCGGCGGCCGGTTGTCCAGATTCGTCGGAAACGGATACCCCTCTGCGACGGCCTGGATGAAGGACATTACCCGGGCACTGAACCTACCGCCGTCTTCTTGCTCGTACTTCGTCTTCAGCAGATCCCAGCATCGCTCGACTAGCGGGATCGTGTCGATCGCTTCCATCGTCTTGCCAAACGCGCTGCTGATCTGTAGCAGGTTGGCTGTGCGGTGCAGGTCCGTCGTGCGGTTGGCGCCCGCCGCGTGGAAGAGCGCCGGGTTGAAGAAGATGGCGTCGCCCGTCTCCAGCGGTAGCGCGACGTACTTCTCCTGGAAGAACTGCTGGAACTCGGGCCGGCGCCAGGCGATGAACCCGGGCTCGTACAGCTGGCTGAAGGGCAGCACCCGCGTTGGCCCGCTCTCCATCGGCATGTCGCTGTGTGCCACTGCCCCCTGCAGCGTCAGCAGCTGGCTCGCGACCTGGATGCTCCGCGGGTACTGGGCGCAGCGCTCTGCCTCCTGGAAGCCCAGGTGGTAGTCGCGGTGGCTGTTCTGCGGCGCGCCGCCGGGCTTGACGACGTTCACCTGGGCGGTGATGCGGTACGCGGGGCCCAGCCAGGCCTCGCACATGCGGGCCAGCCACGGGTTGGAGTAGTATTCGACGAACGACGCCGGGTCGGTGAGCGCGTGCTTGCTGAACGAGTTCCAGATGCGGTCGTTGGCGCCCTTCTGCGCGAAGTGGTCGCCTTTCTGCTTCGTCCGCTGTTGGCGTTCATGCTCGATGATGCGCTGGAACGTGGCATTCGCGGCGTCGAGCACGGGTCCGTACTGCTCGACGCCGTACAGGCCTTTCAGGACGAGCACGCCCGGTCCGGCGTAGAGGATGTGGTACCATTCGTCCTGCAGCCGTGCCGCGGTGTCGTCGTCGCTGGCATCGAACCTCGACATCTCGTAAATGGGGATGTTCTTCTGAATCGACGATGCCAAGGGATACGTCTCTGCCGAAGCGGTGCGTGAGCAGAGGCGCTTGAATTCTTCCAGCGAGGGGGGCTGGTCTCGGGGGAAGAGACGACTTGTCGTCGTCGTTATTGTAGGCCCATGATGTCCGTTGACGCCGTTCGACATGTTGTTGGCACACAAAATGGCTTCTGATATCCAAGACTAACGCAGAGACAATGTCCCGCTGTCCACGTATCTACTCTATCTGAAGTCCAAGGGAATGACGGTACAGAGTAAAGACGGATCAAAAGGACGGTATCATGACTATATACCGAGACATTAGCATACTTTTCCCGGAATTAACAATCCGTCTTCGAAATAAATACATTCTAGAAACGCGGGGAAACCAAACGTCCGCAGTGATTATTGTCGCAACAAGGAAAGTAAAGCGAGATCCCAAGTGGCCCAGTCGCAAGTTTCCATTTCAGTTCGGGATCCAGATCCCGACACTATTTACCTAGCTAGGTCTACGTCTGCTTCGAGCCTGGAAAGAAGCCCCCAGATGAGTGCGTGGATCGCGTACTTGTAATTATTCTGACAGTCAAAACAGGCCTAGTGAAGAAAGTTTCATGTCGACAGGGGTATAGGGAAAAGGAAGACACCAGATCTTTTTAATGCAAACCCCAGAGATCCATCCACAGTTTCACCGCTGATATCATCCCGATAGAATGATACTTCATGCTGGATTCCCCACTTGCCAACCCAACGCCCTGACATAACCCGAGTAAGAAAATTTTCGTTGGCTCATCTCATTCCCAAAAAAAAAAAACGGACCGATCCCGTCATATATCCACCATGACAGTGTCTGCATCCGGCGGCGATGAGTCATGATCCGTGGCTGGGGACAGCTCCGTGACACGCAGGGAATCGGTGCATAGCAGCTGCTTGTCCTCGACAACGGTCTGCAGGGCACGGCTTCGCCCCGCCGAAGTGAACAACAGCTTCAGCACCGTCCCCTGCGGAATCACAACTCCGTTCACAACTCCGTGCTCGACCAACGAGGCGGCATGACCTGTCGTATGAGAGACCAGGATCTGCACCAGAGACTGAAGGTGGTCTTCGGTGTTAGAGTCTTCGAGCACGTCCAATCCGTCGATCGCAATGAACAGGATTGGCGGCGCAAAGCAAAGCAATGTGTCCAACACCGACAGCACGTCCTTCCAAGAGTCAAGTGTGCCGTCAAATCGGCGGAACCGGTCTGCGCTCAGGTCGCACTCGCTGTCACAGTCCAGCATCGGTGGAGCCACCTCCATTAACTGCCGGATCAGGCTGTAGGCCAGAGCAACGAGCCCTTTTTCAGAATTTGGTTCCTCGTCGGAGAGGCAGAAATGTGAGATGACCGGAATTTTCTTCTGCCGGGCGAGCCAGACGTAGCATGCGCAGAGCTGGGTCATATCGTTGGGGTGGGCGACAGGTTGGGGACTGGCGATGGCAAGCGGCTGTGATCGAGGACTGCTGGTCCACTCGCACAATGCCATGGCAGTGTCAGGATCGACAGAAAATCGAACCTCCGATCCAAACTCCTGGACCTGATCATCGTTACTGAACCGCTCTTGCAGGTCTCGAGAATCGAACTGCAGTTGAAATTTGGTGATTCTCCGTCTCGAGCTCGACTTCAGTGGTGGCGAGTCCAAGCCTTCGGAACCTTGTGGCACAGAGCATGAATTAGCAAGAAGAATGGAAATCGAGGAACCATCACCCGTACAGTTGTCATCTGGCGTGAAATCCATAGACTCTACAGTCTGCACCACGACCTCTTCAGGAATGGGTAGATGAGACCGCAAGGAGGAAACCAGGTCTGCCAGAATCGATCCCCGCTCCGTTACCAACTCCTTTGTCCTGTTGATGTGCCGCCGAGCATCCCATATCTGTTGTCGCACAAATGTGGTCTGGGCTGCAATTTGGCGTTCCTGGCCTTCCAGCCCTGCTTGCTTGAGACGAACCTCATTGAGCGCATCAGATGGGCATGTTAGTGGCCGCTCAATGATACAACCGTTTGATTCCCGCACGACCGCGCGGGCACTGTCCTTGATGTTCTGGACCAAACCCTGAAGACCGGACTGGAAGTCTTCATTATGGCTGTAGAGCTGCCGGCACATCCCCTTGGCGACGTAGAGGTTCATGAACTCGCCAAGAAAGAGAAAGATCTGACAATAGAGGGTCGCAACGCGAAGGGCAACATTATCGGGCTCTTGACAAGCCTTCAACTCTTCCAGAGACGATTGAACCGCCTGATTGATCTTGACGAGAGACGACAGGAACCCCTCGGCGACTCGATATTGCCTTGTCGAAGCCTTTTTTTTTTCTTGTATTAGTTCTTCCATGCCGCCTCAGTCATAAGACGGTCCACGCTACAGTAAAGTCTTACCTTGATGATGGACTGCAGCACGCTATACAATAACGACGAGTACGCCGTCGAGTCGTCCAGGACTTCGGTCATGGAAGCGTGCGAATCGACAGTGCGAGCAAAGAGATCGGCCAGGGTAATTACGTTCTGGAACAGATGCCGCTGCTTACATGACGTCCAGAAATCCACCGCCTGTTCAACGACGCGTACAACATCTGCAGGCTCCTGGGGGTCTTCCTCGAAGGTCAGACGGTCACCGGACGGGACGAAATTCTGGAATCGGTCCCAGGTTTGCTTCAGATGGTTGTACTCAATGTCGAGTTTTGCGATTTCCGGTTCCCTGCCAACGGGGGTGAGTTAGGCATAAGTGAAGATACGGAGATCCATTTGCAACGAAGCGCCATGTCGGAAACAAGCAATGCATCTCACGACAAAGAGGGCAATTCTGTGCGAGGGGCATGAAGAAGACGATCACTCCGCTAGCAATCGATCGCACGAACAAACCCTTGTTCGACTTGTGGGCGACAGAGGCTCTTGCTAACGAAATCTTGACCGCCCCTCCACCGGAGCTCGCCTGCCCTTGGGTTTCATGGACGATCGACATAATAGACCCAACTAAGAACATTTTCCCCCCTCAAAGACAGAGAAAAAGAAAACAAGACTGGACTCACACAGAGGGTTCTTCTTCCTTGGAGGGTTCTTCTTCCTTCTCCGGAGACCCGTCGACAGGCTCGGTGTCGGCGCCATTTTGATTATCATCCTGGCTAATCTGCTGCTCCGCTGCGGTGGTCATGGTCGAAACGGTACCTGGTTGTCGGGAAGCTGCGCTGGGTCGCCGACGTGCGGCGGCCCCGTCGAACAAGAGACGCTACGGTGAACTCGCGACTAGAAGGACTGGGGACGAGCGAACGGGAGGGCCGGGGGGAAGTAATAAAGGGGCAGAGACGGGCGGACGAGGGCGACGACGATGCTGCTGGCGCTGCAGCAACATGGCTCGACAGGGTCTGCTGCTGCAACTGCAGGCAATGGGCAGTCTGGCAGGGCAGGGCAGTTGGGGATCGAAGTTTGTTTTCGAGGGTGAACGAGCGGCGAGGCGTGGCAGAGGGTCCGGGACCCCTCTCTCGGCCAGCGGGCGCTGCGGTCGGCGAGAGCCTCGACCGTGGGAACAGCGTGCACGGCCAATGGCATGCCGCGCTGGCCCGGCGGGCTGCCCCTGCCTCGCCCG